TATAAATAATCAACCAATTAAATAAAAATGGAAAATATTAGCGATTTAACGATATTTAAAGATGAAATTGACAACAAAATTAAAGATTGGATAAAATCTTTACCCAGTGACACGTTAAATAACATTTTAAATGACCTTGAAATAGATAATAACGGTTCAATATACGAGCGCGCGAATAAACTTTACAGACGACTACAAGGAGACTATTCGACGGATGACTTCGTGGAAACGATCGACAATTTAACGCTAAAAGCGAAAGAAAGACGCGATAGATTATGTGTGACACTGATGCAATCGGAAGTCATACCGAAGTCATTACGCGATGACCTCAAGCTTATTGCAGAATTGGATAATGAAGAGGATTTTGAGAATACGGATAACACCAATGATGAAGAAGACAACGTACACGAGGACATGTCGCTAACGCCGACATCTAATACAACACAAATTTTAACAAGAGAAACTTCAACAAATAATATGAACGCAGAGAGCACACACACGGCGCAGACAATGACAACAACAAGCTTTGTCAACACACGGTCAAGAGCATCAACATCGGAAAACCGATCGATAGGCGAAATGTCACAAACGCCAGAAAGAATGGTATGGTGTTTATTACCAACAGGAAAAACACAATACATACCAGAATCTACGGCTAGAGAGCTAAAAAGATTTATGATTAATGCGACTACGCTTCAAGAAGAGGTAGATAATTTACAAAACGATTTATCAAGAGTGCAAAGCGAGAACGCTAGACTCGTAAACAAAATCGAGTCACAGCAACAACAGATAAAGTCGTTGTCTGAAACCATGGGTAACTGGAAAGCAACAAGACAGGACAAAAATGTAAATTTTCGAGAAACCTATAGTCTTATAGATCCAGAGTTTGACTTAACAGTAATTGAAAAGCCAAAACTAAACCCAGATGCAGCAGTGTTCTCATCAACAAGAAGATCGCAAATAGCTTCCGATAGAACAAGCATACTAAGGAACGGGATGCCAATCGACACAGCTAATGCGAAAAGTACGCAAGACTTTCGGCCTTGCGGAATGACTTCTACCCCCGCAGCTTCGAGCTGGGGAAGGGGGGTCCTAATAGACGAAGCGTTTTCGCTCTCGCATGCGACGGGATCGCAACCAACAAATGCGACACGGCAAGCGACTAGTTATGGACTCCCAAATTGGAGAATAAGCGCCAACAGCTCAGATAATACACGAATTCAAACAAGAAACCTGGGAAAAACGGTCAGAGACTGGAAAATCCAGTTCTCCAATGACTCAAATACCAGCATTGAGGAATTCTTAGAGCGTGTAGAAGAGAACTGCTGTTTGGATCGCATCACTGAGGATGAAATCCTAGACTGATTATCTACCCTTTTCAGAGGTCAAGCGCTCCACTGGTACCGCCTCTTGATGACCAACATGGCACACTTACCAAGAGTTTCGAGATGCAGCGCTAACCGCTTACAGCAAGTCACGTCGGTACAACCGAAACTTGTCAGTTGAAGCGCATTTAAGGACGCAAGGACCTGATGAACCCGTGAGAGATTACTTATCAGCCTTACATACGATTTTCAGCCACTTTGAGCGACCATGGAGTATCCCTGATCAAGTCAGCTTGGCAATCGATAACATGGTTCCAAGACTCAAGAAGGAGCTGAAGAAACAACAACATGCCATCACATCGTTAGTACAGCTCCTTGCCCGAGCGCAAGAAGTGGAAATCGCTGAGTCTGACGAACTTTGGAAGCCGCCGCCGTCTCCAGAGCAAAGCTTGCTGCCAGAGGCCGCATATAAGCCAAAGACTAAGACGACAGTGAAGCCAAAGGCGAATGTCGCTTCAATGGCGGAAACTGCTAGTTTGTCAGACGCTGATTTAGAAAAATCTCTTCATAATTATCTACTGAAGAAATACCAGGAGCTTACAGTGTCTTCTCCCAAAAGCCTGCCTATCGCTAGTGTGGATACCACTCCAACTTCAACGAAAGCTGCAGCACGACAGTCACCTACTTCTCCACGAAGAGGATCCGATTCTCGTGGCAGAGGGGGCAGGAATGGAGGGCGATGGAACGCTAGAGGTGGTCGAGGAGGTGATCGACTGCCTGGAGGTCGAGCAAGAGTTATCACACCACGCTCAGACAAGAATAAAGATAAAACTCCTGGACCAGACGCAGATAAGTTACTCTGCTGGGAGTGTAGTTGGCCCGGTTATACTAAGGCTACTTGTCCTGAATGCTCGAAAAATGAGCCTGCAAAAAACGCAGACAGGAGCGAGTAGACGGGGTCCCTATCGCTCCCCTGATTCCGAGGGCCTCATCAACTAACGCCGACTCAGGAGACCGTCAGGCACAGCAATCAGCAAAAGTCGTCTGTTCGCCGGCACAGAACGATCAAGCGATTACGCTTCTGCCAGACCAAAGTACTGCGACGTGCGCTTTGTTTGAAACATACCCTCGGTGGTGGCTACCAGTACAGGTAGGCCACTTCACTTTTAGAGCACTTTATGATACCGGTGCTTCTCGAACTGTACTAAGTCCTATTGGCCTTCAAATAGCTGCGGCTCTGGATCGTCCGGTCACATTGTACGACGGCCCAGGAGCGCGCGCTATCGATGGACATTACGTGCCCATCATTAGCAGTGTTCAATTACCGTTTTCGGTCGCAGGAGCGTCTTATATGATAGATGCCCTTATTTTAAGCGAAGCCGAGTCTGAATGTACTCTAGGAGGAGACTTCATTCGTGCGTTTTCCGCTTGTCTTGATCCCGAGACGAATACCTTATGGGTAAAAGGGTGTGATCAACACGTGTCACTTACCCTCTTGTCTTTGAGCGTTGATAGTCCGCTCGCTCTGTCCGCACTTGGTATTGCAGAGATTACTCCAGAGCAACGAAAAGGGATCGACCGAGTAATTGAGGAGATACTGCCGGAATCAAAGAATGGCCACATTGGATGTACTTCATGGATTTCCCATGACATTGACGTTGGAGATGCCCGGCCAATCAAGCAGAAATACTATCCTGTTTCGCATGTTATCGAAATGGAGATGCATGCGCAGGTATATAAGATGCTTGAGGCGAAGATAATTCGGCGTTCGAAAAGCGAATGGTCGAGCCCTGTCGTTATGGTTAAAAAACCAGACGGTTCGTATCGCTTTTGCGTAGATTTTAGAAAGGTCAACGCAGTGTCCAAGGTTAGCGCATATCCGCTTCCCTTCATGGACGTGATTCTGCGAAAACTGCAGCACGCTAAGTACATTAGCGCTCTTGACTGCTCAGGGGCCTTTCACCAGATCCCTCTTACGGAGCGATCCACGCCGATTACAGCATTTACTGTTCCTGGCCTCGGGCTATTCGAGTTTGTGCGAATGCCCTATGGAGTGGCTGGAGGACCAGCTACCTTCCAAATGCTGGCAGATATGCTGATACCGCCTGAGATGGAGCCCTACGCCTTCGCATATATAGATGATTTGATCATAGCCACCGAGACCTATGATGAACATCTGAAATGGCTTTCGTGTATCCTTAATCGGATCAAAAAGGCGGGCCTAACCATCAACTACAAGAAGTCGCGCATTTGTATGACAGAAGTTCGCTACTTAGGTGTTTTAATCAACAAGGATGGGACTCGTCCTGATCCTGAAAGGGTTCGTCCTATTTTGGACTATCCGCCGCCAAAGAATCTGAAGCAGTTGCGCAGATTCCTCGGCATGGCGTCCTGGTATCGGAAGTTTTTGCCCGATTTTGCGAGCATAGCGGATCCGCTTACCTTGCTAACCCGAAAAGACACTACGTACGAATGGACCGAAGCGCAACAAGACGCCTTCGAGCGCATAAGAGGCCTGATCGCTACTGCCCCCGTCTTGGCTAGGCCGGACTTTACGGCTCCATTTATTGTAGAATGTGATGACAGCGATACAGGACTAGGCAGTGTACTCTTGCAGCACGTCGGAGACGAAGACAGAGTACTCTGCTTCGCGAGTCGAACACTCAGTGTTACCGAGCGAAGGCTCTCGGTCACAGAAAGAGAGTGTCTCGCTGTAATATGGGCAGTTGAAAAGTTCAGACCCTATATAGAAGGCTATCACTTTACGGTGATAACCGACCATTATAGCTTAAAATGGTTGCGAAACCTTAAACATCCAAATGGCAAGCTAGGACGATGGTCGCTGATTCTACAGTCCTACAGCTTCGACATCGTGCATAGAAGAGGAAAACACAACGTAGTCCCGGACGCTCTATCGCGAATGTACGAAGAGGATGAAGAAACGGCTATCGCTAGCAAGTCAAGGACCCATGGTACTTGAAATGGGTGGAAAAAGTTCAAGAAAACCCTACCGATCACCCATATTGGAAGTATAGCGGAGATAAGCTATATATCTACAAGCCGGATCCTCTTGTTGACGATCTGATGGGCGCGGACGAGGACGCATGGAAACTAGTGCTCCCGCGAGAACGCAGAGCTCAAGTGCTTGTAGAAAGCCACGATAGCCTGACAGCAGGACATCTAGGGCGATATAAGACGCTAAAGCGAGCAGCGCTGAAATATTATTGGCCTGGCATGAATAGAGACGTAGCACATTACGTCCGTAATTGCCTTGTCTGCCAACAAACCAAAGTGGAGCAAGTCGCTCCTGCAGGTTTAATGGGAAGGCACATAGTCTCTCGGCCATGGGAAATAGTGGCAGGCGACACTATGGGCCCTTTTCCAAGGTCAGCGCAGGGTCACGAACATCTTCTCATTTTTGTTGACCTCTTTACTCGCTGGATAGAGTGCATTCCATTACGCAAAGCTAATGGGAAAGCGATCCGCCGCGAGTTAAAGGAGCGAATCTTTTTGCGATTCGGAGTGCCCGATAAATTTTTATCGGATAACGGTACGCCGTTCAAAAATAAGTTGGTGGATGAGTTCTTGGACTCATTCGGCTTAACGCATAGCACGTGCGCGCCGTATTCTCCTAAGAGCAATCCGACGGAGAGAGTGAATCGCACTATCAAGACCATGATTAGTGCCTTCATTCAAGAAAATCACACCACCTGGGACGCGCACATAGCGGAATTCGCTTTCGCTTACAACACTGCGATACATGAAGCGACGCGCGCTAGTCCAGCTTTCCTTAATTACGGGCGGCACCCTGAACTTCCCGACTCCAAGAAAAAAAGGGAAGATAGAGACCGAGTCCGTAACCTTGAAGCTGCGGCAGTGGAACACTGGCACGCAAGGATGGAGAAATTGGATGATTTCCGCGCCGTCGCTAGGGAAAACACTCGGATTGCGCAAGATCGTCAACAGAAGTATTACAACGTAAAGCGAAGAAGTGTAGAGTATTGCGTGGGAGATAAAGTCTGGGCCAAAAACCGCTTACTTTCTTCAGCTGCAATGAAAATAGCTGCTAAGCTGAGTCCAAAGTTTGCGGGACCTTTCATTGTAACTGCTCGCCTGGGTATGAACTCATACCAACTGAGCAATGAAGAGGGCCAAGATATAGGCAAGGTTGCTGTATGCGACTTGCGGCCTTGTCACAGCGAGGACCAATGTCCGGACGCGGACGAAGAGGAGAAGGAAGAACCCAAGTCCGAAGAAGAATTGGAACTCAATAATTTGTTCTCCCCCGCGCCTGCGGAAGATATATCCAAGTTGGATAGACCGGGAAGTAGCGAGGCGAACTCCAAACCGCGGAGAAAACGTGGCCGACCGAAAGGCAAGAAGAGACTCGCGTTGCGTGCGAATCCGCCGTCACCGAGACGACTCCGTTCCAACCGAAATTAAGCGACCTAATTACGCCTCTTTTTGTAAAGGAGAGAGTCACTGTAACTCCCTCACCCTTCCTATCCTTGTGACTGCGCTTATTCCGCTTTTGATGCGATGACCCGCACTTTAATTAGTTTCCCTCAAATGAATATAAGTTTACATGAGTAGAGAGAGAGACCAGGTTTCGAGCTGGTACCCCACTGGCAACCAGCGTCTGGGGAAGGGGGATATAACGAACGGCATGTAAGTTCGTTATGTCTCTCTCTCCCCAGGAAGCCATCAAATAATAATTATCTATAATAATTAATTATCATGTAAACATGTTTAAATAATTGCAGCGTGGACGTCAGCGAACCGGTAAGTGACGCGATTATAGTTCGATTATCGATATCGACTCGCGGCGCGAACCTCGCGGAGAGGCGAGCCCTTCGAGGAGAGAGAGAGACTAGGGACAAAAAGTAAGTCTGCTTCCGACCGGCAACGAGCAAGTAACCGGCAACGCGAGCTCGCTAATTACTCGAGAGAGCAATCAGGTTTGATAGCCACCCACGTGACAACCATCGACGCTGTTCCCGAAAAGCCCAGCGAACACTCGGTGATAGAAGCAGAGAGAAAAAGCGTAAACGCAAGAAGCGATAACGCGATTAACAAACCCTTTGTAAACGAGCGCGCCGAGAACTACTTGCGAGTCTACTGTAGAGCGACTCGTCAGTTCCAGCATTGTAAGTACCAGTCTGTTAACTTGGCTTCTCTCTCTATGGCTCTCTCCTCCTGCGTTGCTTAAATTGCGTATCCTTGTTGATACCTTACCGCGTAGTTGCTTATTTCTTTTCTATTTTCGTTCGGCCTACGAACAGGCTTCCGTTATACGTGTATTGTCGCTTCGTCCGATTTACAACAGAGCGAGTGCTTGCGCGACCTTAACCGCGTAGCGCGTGCGCAGTTCCGTTCGCTTCACTGTCAAGCTATTGCGAGTTTGTTGCGTTGCGATTAACTTTGTTTATATCGACGCGTTTTGATAGTATGTATTCCTTTGTTGATAATTAAAATTTACACGCATCCACTTTTAATCATATTCGAGTGCTTATTGTCCGCCGACTCCCTGTTCCTTGAACTGTAATTGTGTATGTGACTGTACCCGCGCGAATCTCTCTTCTTGGACGTCGCGCATCTTCATGCGTAGCCTACGACACTCTCCGCGGGCCAAGCTCTCTGACCGAAAAGGAGGCAACTGAGCTGCTGGACCCAGAACACCCGGTGCAGGAGCATCGTGCTGCTCTGGAGAGCAACCTAATTTATTTCCCGCGACTTAAAAATTATATAACTGTTCCTGTCCAGGCGAAGCTGAGCAGAAACCCCGTTATAATTTATGGATTTTATTTTATTAAGTATAACATTTGTATATAACTGTAAATATAGAAACATATAATCATTGCTAAATACGTTATTGCTATTAATTGTCTTTGATTAAAAAAATACAGACTATCGTCTTTCTTATATTTACCTTTCTGAATTTTTATTGATATTGTTAGTATCTCTAAGCTATGCAACTGCACAAAAGTGCACGACGGATTAAATTTATGTATACGAGGTGTGTTCAAAAAGTAAGGTGACTTTTCAAATTTCACGGGCAACGTACTTTCAATTATCGATTTTTTTGTTTGTTATGTTGGTACACTCTTCCCGAACATCTGTACCAAGTTTCAAGTGTGTAACATTTTTTGTGTAGTTGTGAGAGGCGTAAAGGTTATAAGTGTTTTGTGTGCTCGGCGATTTCTTGCTATCGAAAAATATGGATCAAAGGATTTGCATCAAATTTTGTATAAAAAATAAAATAAAGTGCTCCGAAACACTTGAAATGTTGACGTGGCATACGTGAAACTGTTCTGAGTAAAAAAAATGTTTACAAGTGGTACAAACTCTTCCAAGATGACCGGGAAGATACCAATGACGAGCCTCGCTCTGGACGCCCAAGCACGTTAACAACTGATGTAAACGTTCAAGCAGTGAAGAAAATTGTTCTGGAAAATCGTCGAATCACTATCAGAGAAGTTGCTGAGGATGTTGGTATATCGCTTGGCGCATGCCATGAAATTTTTTCTAAAGTTTTGGGCATGAGGCGTGTGTCAGCGAAGTTTGTTCCGAAATTGCTAAATTTTGACCAAAAGAACCGTCGCATGAGCATCGCTCAAGAACTGTTGAATGACGTCAACGACCACTCAGATTTACTCAAAAGGGTCATAACTGGTGACGAATCATGGGTATATGGTTGTGATATCGAAACCAAAGTCCAATCGTCTCAATGGAAGAGCCCAGATGAGCCGAGACCGAAAAAAGCACGCCAAGTTCGATCAAATGTCAAAGTTTTGCTCACTGTTTTCTTCGATTACCATGGCGTGGTGCATCAGGAGTTCTTACCATATAGACGTATGGTCAATAAACAATATTATCTTGAAGTTATGCGGCGCACAGTATTCCAAATCAGAAACAAATCTCCAAAATGAAATAAATCGCGAACCAATACCCCTAGCGAAATGAACCCAACGGCATTTTAAAGCTGAAATGATGTAGAATAAAGGAAAAATGGTCGCGTATGAATCACTTAAACTTTTGACCTTCAAAATGAAGGTCAAAGTTCAAATTTTCTCAAGAAAAAAGAGTTTTTCGAGTTTTAAATATGGTTCAGTAATTTTTTTTTTAAAGTAAATAGGCCATTTTGTAGCTATTCCAATAAGAAATAATAACCTGTCATTCAAAATTTTTTTGTCTATTTTTGAACAAAAAAAATTAGGTCAAAGTATCAACATTTCCAACGAGTCTATAATCTCAGCATACAAGACAGAAAATATCTATAACAAGCATATTATATAGATTATTTCTATGTAATTTTTCCCGCTGAACACCACTCCGTAGTCAGAAGTGGCCTACCACGTTCCGTTATCATTTTTAATGCGAAATACTCCTTAAAATACGGCTAATTCGCGATTACAAAATGAACGGAGCATTACGAAGCGATTCTACTTCAGGTTCAGATTCAGCGAATCAATCAAAATCAATACACATGAATATATATACATGAATGCTATGGCCATGGCAGTGTCATGATAACTATAGAAGATAGGTACTGCAAGTAAAAAAGGAATTTGTAGAGTGTGCCTCTCTGGTTGTTATTTCCACACTGTAGTTTGCTAAGGTCACGAGTCTCGTAAGTCGTTCATATATTTGAGCCTGAGTTTTCAATCATGTGTGCCATTCAAGATTATATTTCATATTCAATATTTTTTCTTGGCAATAAATAAAATTTGTTACTTTAAGATAGAAATATATTATTTGGCTACATAAAATTTTGTAGGTATTAAGTGCATCACAAGTCCAGAAAATTATAATATGGTTTAATCAACGCATAAACGATTCAAAAGATACTAGCAAAAATCAAGATTACGGGACAAAAAGAAAAAAAATTGTATAAAAATCTATAAAAAAGCTTTTTAATGCATTCATATACAATATATTTAACCCATTGAATGGTAATGGTTCATATAAGCACAACTTTTTTGTCTCGGTTTCTTTTATATTTCCATTAAATTTTTAATTTCTATACGTGCACATATATATTTTTTAGACTCTTGCAAATCTAACTTATCAATATTTGATGAGAAATTGCATAAATTAATTTATTAATATGTGTATTATAAACAATTAATGTGAAAAAACGCTCTTTATCTAGATTTACATTTACAGTTCACAATATTAGACATCATGGGTCGAACAAAAATAAAGCCCAGAACAAAAGCACATAATAGAAAAGGAAGGCCTCGCAAAAGAGTTTGGCAAACAGTGCGCCCTGGTAGGAAACGCAAGAATATTAAATCTAATGTCTCTATATCAACTATTAATAGAAGAGCTGAAGAAATTGCAACTCAATGTAATAATGACATCGCACTATTAGAACGGGCTTTGAAAATTACAAAAACAAAGTGTAATATTAATTCACGAATTGATAAAGATTCTACTTTAGCATTTTATTTAGACTATGACTATAGTGTGCGTCAATACAAAGGGTTGGTAGAATATTGTAAATCGAAAAATTGTTCGATTTTCCCACCTTATTTGGAGATAGAGGCGGCCAAAAAAGAATGTCTTATTGGCACTGTTAAAATATATGAATTAATATTTCAAGAGTATAAGATGTATGTAGTAGCGCATGCGCAAAAGCGCTTAAGTACGCAGCGAGATGTATCTGTACATAACTATAAGTACAGTCGTAAGAGAGCGTTTGCTTGAGGCAGACCGTGTCTCTAACTATGAGACCAACCTTGTACATATTTGCATGACATTATATTTTACTTAAAAACAAACTCAATCGTTCTTTTATCCCAGTCTTTTTTAACATGGTAGCAGAGCCTTGGTTAATAGTGTGATCGATTAAAAGTGAGGTTGATTCAGTGTATGGTTGACAAAGTGAATGAAGAAGATAGGAATGAATGAATGTTGTCTGAAATTTGTTTTTAAAGTTGAAAAAGTGTATAAAATGCGAAAGTAAAAAAATTATTGAATGATCAAGAAGATGCAAGTGAATACGATTGTGAATTTTGCCGTCATGCGGTGCTTGGCAGGAACACATGGAAATTTGAGGCTATACGACTAAATGAGGAGAAACAAGATAATATAGTACTCAACGTAATGAAACACCGAGGATATTGATAAGTATACTGTAAATATCAAGGTAATAAATCTTTTATCGAAAAATGAAGTTGTTTGAAACAATAATAAACAATTAGAAACGAAAATAAAGTTAAAGCATTGAAGCTTAATAACACATCAACAAGAAGTAATAAATATTTTATTACATATATAAAGATATAAAGATAGATATATAAAGATATAAAGATAGATATATAAAGATATAAAGATAGATATATAAAGATATAAAGATAGATATATAAAGATATAAAGATAGATATATAAAGATATAAAGATAGATATATAAAGATATAAAGATAGATATACAGGGTGGC